TAATATTTACGCAAACCCAAATTCAAATAGTAAATATTTCATTTCTACCAAGTCAGTAAATGTTTGTAGCACTTGTTTCCTTAAATTGCTACTAAAATATTAACAGCAATTACATTATCCTACTGATAATAATATAAACAAATATTTTCTTCGTAATGATAACATGGGAAGTTTAAAAGGCACTGGGGCAGAGCCTAAGGGACTTTTTCAAAAAGGTCAGTTTGCAAATCTACACAGCTAGACGAACATTTTGGTAAACAATATGAGAGAATAAATCTTAAAAAAAAGCCTTATTGTTCACAAAGTTTAAAGTAGCGTATTAATAATATAGATTTTCCTTCAAAACTAATATTCGGTATACAATCTATACCTACTTCTACTTGAGAAATTCATTGAAGGTTCTGTCATAACATTTCTTAAATTATTTTAAGACATTTTGTTATAATTTTAATCAAATTCTATTTTAAGCAAACAAAGTGAGCAACTCTGATCTGCTTACGTACAATATCAGCTGATGTTCAATACCCGCTTCTCACCTAAGATAACACAGATTCCAATCACGTTAAGTCCTGTTTCTACCTTCAGCAAGTCTTGACAAGTTAGTGCTACAAGCTCTAAACTTACTCAACTATGCCACGTCGGTTACAGAGTTAGTAGTTGCGGTTCTTGTTTTTTAAACAATAATGAAGTTTACAAACAAACTTTTGCAAAACATTTTCTGAAGCAGTGGAAGAAATTTTGTGTTCAATCGTACTACTAAATAAGGCAGGGCGTTTAAATTATTTTGGTGAAGAAGTAGTCTTTTCTTGGACTTACCCATTGAGGAAGCTATTTTTATCTGTGATGGCCTATCTCGTCATTTTCTAAAAACCTACAGATTAGGTTAGAGTCTTTTAAAAATCCTCCAGTTGATTAGTCGTCCAATAGTTAAACTCTTTTAAACTTTCCAAAATCTGATTCGTCCATCATATTTCGCTTTAGAGCTTAAACAATCTATATTAACTTATTAGCTGGTAATTGTAGTAAGTTTGTTGTATTTGTCAATCTAGTTACAGGGTGTCCTGTAAGTGAACGGACAAACTCCTCTTAATACTTACGGTATACCTAGAATTTTAGCTACACAATATTTTTGACGTACTTTATTTCAGCAAGCAAATAAATAATGTTAATAAATATTAGGTCTGCATCTTGTTAATAGAGAAACTATAATAATTATTATTTTGGTTCTCCTAAGAATTTCAATTCAATTCAATTCATATAACTTTATTTATTTGAGTACAATATATAAATACAGGAATGGTGTCAAGAGTAATGTAATAAAACTAACTTAACTAAAATATTCATCATAACCAAGCATGACGTAACATATTATCATTTGTAATAGCTTTCAAGCCCAAATAAAGAAAAACAAACAATGCAATATAAAAGTTTTACAGGAAAAAAATCTAAATCAAAATAATAAATACAATAGAAATAAACTTAAACCGTGTGAAAATTGCATTTCAAAATTTTTAAATAACTTCTTGATCAGCAATGTACGTATTATTACATTTACGGAAAGTAAATAAAAGAAACGTCATATAACACATATTTACGCTTATAGTGTACTCACAATACGGCAAATGTACATAAAAGATGGTAAGTGGGGATCGATTTCGATTAGACACTCCAATCATAATCAGACCCAATAGGCGAATGAAGCGTTAATATATGTTTTAGGTGTTATAAGATGTTTACTTTATTTACTTTCCGTATTTCAAATATTAATAGCGTCAAACATTCAATGGTAATACAATAAAAATTGGGTTTTATGCAATATTACATATTTATTTTTAGACCTTGTCAAAATTAATGATCATAAGCTACTTTTGAAATTAATTATATTTACCACTTATATAAACTTAATGTTTAATGCAGAATATCCCCAAACATTTCAATATATTAACTTTGTAAATAGAATATTTACCTATAGCTATGTGCTGCATTATCAAATTCGTTATTACTATATATTTTTGTCTATTATAGATTTAATATAGTGTAAATTACATATTGTCTAATCCACAACGTAAACCATTGAATACTTTGGGCTAAGTTTCATATTTAAGTATTAAATTTATGACTGTATCAGACTTATTTGATGTTTTATTACTAATATGATACCATAGGCAAAAATGAACTACGAATCAAATGCGTCGATTGTCGCTAAAATCGTCAATAAAACATGCATCAAACACCATAATACGTTTAAGTCAGAAGCCATATCCGATGATTCATCCGTAGAAGGATCAGAAGTGACTAGGCAGTCGTCACCCACTCGTCCATTGTTCTATAATGGTTACCAGTTAATGCTTCCTTGTTAGACGTAGTGGCAGCGTTATCTTATCTTGCACATCCCACTGGTACATTTACATGCACATAACCGTCATACACAACATGTCGACGTAATGTGATGGGGATAATGTTGTGTTTATTGTCCTGTCACGTTGAACAGCTGGGAGCACTGTTGACTCGGAGAGCCTTGCAAAGATTGAATATGTGCAGTTTGAAGTTAGTTTTACGTTATTTGAAGTTTTAGAACTATGTTAGTTGCATGGTAAAAGGAATAATTTATGATTAAACCATAGACTTACACAAATAGACTTTTTAACACATTGTAATTTTTAAAGCTAGTCTTTTGTGTCTAGTTCATGTCCGGTGACAGTGGTCGCTAGTGTCGACGAAATTTTCTTTATATTATTTGAGGGTTATTCAAGGAATTCTTCTTTACTGTTTGGTTATACAGCTAGGATACTTTTTATGTATTATACTGTGGGGTTTTTTGTTAAAAGAGGTTTTAAATTATACTGTAATAACCAGAAGCAAATGTTAAACAAAACACTAGTGTAACTGTTGCTCGAATTCGAGCAGTTGCGAGTTTTACAGGCGTTATTAAAAAGAATAACAGCCGTAATTTCCAATGACTGAAAGAGTCGACTCAAAGATTATGGAAAAATTCACAATGTACATAACAGTTGGATATAATCAATATTTCTTGTAAATATCTTATCATTTTTCAAAAGCTAATCTAGTTTTTTAGTATTTTCTACAAATATTTCCCACTGTTAGCCACATTAGGTTGTCCATAATAACGATAAAAAAAAAAAACATTATTTCTATTTCTTCTACTTGGTTCTATGACTTTCCTATGTTTCCATCGGCGAATGGGAAAAATGTTTGCAAATCGGTTGTTTAATGATTGCTCAAGAAATGCAGCACAGTGTTTATAATTCAGTTTTCTTTTTATATCAAATTGTCCAGTATTTCTAAAGTCACTTTTTTCCATTGTAATATTTTCACCAACCCAAATTCAAATCTATATATAATACGTGGTAAATATTTCATTTCAACTAAGTCAGTAAATTTTTGTAGCACAAATTTCCTTAAATTGCAACTAAAATAACAGCAATTAAATTATCCAGCTGATCAAAATGTCACAAAATTTGTTCTTCATAAGGATGACATGGGAACTTTAAAATCCACTCAAAAATGTACGGTCAGTTTGCAAATCTACACACCTAGACGAACATTTTGGTACATAATATGTGGGGTTAAATCTTAACACCATAAAGCCTTATTGTTTACAAAGTTTGATAATTGACTATTGGATTTCTTCAAAGTGGGTTTAAATGTTTCGATCTAATGTTTCACTCACACTTTTAAGCGTAAATATTTATGTGTCCTTTATACTTTGATAAGCAAAGTTCGTTTGAATGTTTCAATCGAGTGTTTCTATCGTATTTAACGATTTACCATACGTGGCCTTCACTATTTCATTGCAAAAGACAAGGCTCAATGTATGACTCGATTGTTCTATTTAGTTTCAATACTTTTACAGTTGGTTAAATGTCAATAATAAAATAGTAACCAACAAATACTCTTCATGTACTGGAGAGAAGCGTATATTAAAGTTGTTGAAAAGTTAAATCTAAAGTGGTTAAGAATATTCTTATAAAGTGTGTTATTATAACCAACTTTGTAGAATCCATGATGCAATTTGCCTTAAGAGAAATAACATACAGTCTTGTTGTTTCTTATAAACTAAAATGCCTTAGGGATCTCGATCTTCAGTACAATCCAGCAAACTTAAACTTATAAATAATTTCTCAACCTGTCATATTACAATTCCCACAAAAAATTAAGTAAAGGTTTTCTGTAATTTCTTTGTTTGAAAATTTATATTACATCCTACTGAAAAAAAAAACTGATTTAAATACTCTCAAAAGATCTAACGTATTAGTTTAACGTTTATATTTAACAATGATTCACTGAAAAACTATTTTATTAATTACAAATTCTTCACACAGTATAAGAAATGCTACGGAAGAACAATTCCTTTAGGGTATTCTACTTATTGAAAATTATTTAATCGATTCTAAATTTAGTAGGGAAAACATTTACGACGGCTTAATATTGACTAATTTCAAAAAGTTAAAATGCTGAATAGCATAATCATCCTTAACATAAGCACCTCCTTGCACATTCCTCAAATATTCCTACTTAAACCACCATAGCTTACCGTCTAAATAGTTTCAAAATTTCCCACCTTTATGATTAAATCCACATAATTCCTATTAAAAACAAAATCCACCAAAAATACTATATAACTTTAACTGCAATTTGAAAAGTTCAAACCATAAATAAACCTTAAAACCGGGAATAAAATGCTCAAAGCGATCATCCAGCTGTGAAACCCATTGATGTAAAAATGGCCAGATTTCACATAAATTGCTCGGTGAATTGGAAACAGCAGTGATCAGAGCAACAATGGTTCGCAACAATGTGACGACGGGCGGTGTTTATTGTTGCGGTGGACGGATACCTGTGGAATCGATAGATCAACATGTACCCTCCTGTACCCCCCTGCCCCCCTGCGACGCCGTGGTAACACCTGTTGAGTATGCTTGAACAGTGAACATTCTGATCAGTTGCGCGAGCGTTGCCGTCACGGTCGGTCGCGATCAGCTGTTCGTGTACAGCTGTTTTGTGAATTACAGGTGAACTTGTGACTTACTTGTGCTTTTAGTGGTCAGACGTTTGAACTGTTGCTGCCCGTGATACCAGAGGTAAATTTTTTATTTTGTTCGTGTTGGAGTGCTAGTTTTTAAATGTTCGACGGGTTTTAAGGGGTTTAAAAGTATTTGTGATATAATGCGTAAACTTTGGGCCAAGAAATAATGTTGAACTACTTAGAGTTACGTTTATTAAATGTTATTTATTTCGAAATTGATGGAATGTTTCTTATGAAATACCTTACATCAAAAGAGCACATATGTAATCGTAAAAATTATAAATCAATTAGTAAATAAATGTGAAACGTATGCTGTAACATTATTATAAATTTAAATAGCAAACCATAATTATTATAATTACGCCGTAGAAACATAATTACGCATAAAACACGTATAATACATCCATGAAACTATCCAGTAAAAATTAATACGCCCTTAAAAACATGCAACGCGTTCTTGTATGATGTAAAACGACAAAAATACGTCTTTTTACAAGATGAAAAGTAGATTTCAACAGTGTTTTACCATATATATTTTAAGAGTTTGTTGTTTATTAATTTGATTGTAAAATATATGAGTTATTTAAAATGGAAATATAAATCCTCGTTGAAAAGCTTGAGTAATGTCTATATTTTTACTAGTTTCAAAAAATGCTACCGCCCAAAGTTAGATGCACAACAGAATGCTATCGTTCAATGCATACAATATATAAGGTTCAAAATACATTTAAATTCTCATCAAGTCAAGTAATACATTAAACTACAACACAATTACTACAATTGTATTTAAAAAGGTTGTAATAACTTAGGCCTATACAATTTTCTACACTACTAAACAACATGAGGTGTCAGTTCTTATGTCAAGCAAACATCGCTAGAACAAATAAGCAAGAACATTTTGGCTACACAAAGATAATTTGTGTACCCAGAATCGCTGTGATCCTAATCCCGTAATGCTTTTGGTGGGGAAAAGATACATGCAGAATTAATCAGCGATCATAAGCGTAAATGAACATGAGCATGCAAAATGACTTGGCTTAATGAGTCCATACATCTTGGTAGCTTGAAAACGTGGTGTAAGTGGCTTAAGGGAAATACTCTATTCAAGGTCAAATGCAATGCATTTAATTCTGATCGACATGCGTTTTGTGAATGCTGTTGTTGGCTTGCAAATAATCTTATTAACTTTTATGTACACGATATACTGATTATTTTTATACTACAAAGTTGTATTGATTTATTATTCTCATAAAGGAGTATTTATATATATGTATGCATTTGTGGCTAGTAAAACACTTCTGGGGCTTTAGTAAATTATTAAAATCTTGCACAATAACACATTAAAACAACGTAAATCCCATAGTGAACAGTCAGCAAAAAAATTTTAATAGTTTTATCTAGAAGCATAACATTTGGTAAAACATGTCACTTTCAAACGTTTCCAGTAAGAATTTGTTTGTAAGCTTTTATTTATATTTTAATTTTCAGTTATATTAGTTAAAGTAATATACTGTTAAGACGATTTTAAAAACTATATTCTCTTAGAAAATTGGGTACTTTCCTGTTAAAGGGAACATTCATTATTATCGATGATTTATTTTCGATATATCGATAGTTTTGTTTTCCATCCGGTATATTGATAGTAACAAATTGAAACATATCAGCTGACAAGTACGATATAGGATACAGTTATTAAATATTGTTCAGTATCAACAAACAATAAAAAAAAAACATTAGCCTATATTAAAATGAAACTGTTCTAAACTAACCTAACCAACCAAACTGGCTGTAACATTTCAAAAATCCGTTTGATAGCCTATTCCCCATATGCCTTTTCTCTTCTGTTATCAAATGGAATTTTGAAACGGTAGCTTAGCCTATACAGCAAGTTTGGTTAGTTATGTTAGGTTAGTTTAGAATAGTTTCATGTCCTAATCCAATGTATAGGCTATTATTTTTGCCTAGACAAGGTTAGTTCTTAATTTGTAATTTAAATGCGTTTGAATATATTAAAACAGATGGAATACCAATCGTGAAGTAAAACAAAAATATCGATATATCGAAAATAAATCATCGATAATAATGAATGTTCCCTTTAACAGGAAAGTACCGAAAATTGCCCGGATTCAAATATACGTTAAGCTGCGAGAGCTAAAATTACTGAAGCAAATCTTAGTAGAGCTTGAAACGATTTTGTAAAATATAAATGCAACTTAGATAGTTATTCTTTGTGTACAGTCAAAATAGTGGCTCATGATAGATAAGTAGCATATGAAATTGACGAAAACATTTTCAGCCTGTTGGGGTTTTACTACAAATTATATTCTAAAAACTTTAAGTCACCACAGAAACATATGATAGTTACAAAATAAATGTTTTAGCACTATGGGGAAAAATATTAAAACGGAAATCGTTAGGCTGCGGAATGATAGTAATAAATTATTAGCCAGTTCAGAAAAACAAGAATAGGTACATTAAAACAAAATCTATCAATAGTAAATATCTTCAAAATGTCAACTTCTTTTAAAGTGATTTGAATTACGAAAACTATTATTTAAAGCACGTTTCCTAAAGCTTATTTGTTATTTTAGGTATAAAATGTCATCTATATTTATTTCCTTTATAAAATTTAGAGTCAGTAAAAATATATTTTAAAGGAATTTTCATTAAATTTCACTAATTAGTAAAATCTTTTATAACACATTTTTAGGTGGGATCTTTTTCCAATAAAATTATTTTGAATTTTTTTCCACAGCCACAACAATTAAATCGACTGAACAATTGGGTTTAAGAAGTTGAACATAGCTTAACAATTCTTCACTCACTAAAACTTAAATTTAACAATGTTTTCGAGATTTTTAATTAATTTAACACAACATTTCTTCTAATACCAAATCGCGTCAGTGAAGTACTTTCCGAGTTCGATTACTGACAACGGAGGAAGTTTTTCAGCACGAACTTCCGTGATAAAACAGCCTGATACGTCAGTCATTCTATATTTAGATTGGTAATGCTGATGGGATTAGACAACATCTCTAATGATTACGGGTTGATGGTGATGGTTTACTGGAATTGTGTACATTTAAATAACTTGAAATAGACAAAAATCGTACTACAGTACGTTAAAACAAAAGTTGTACGATCAATCGGGTTGAAATATTGTTCATGAAAGGATTAGAAATTATTTAGTTTACTAGAATAAAAGTGCAATTTCAAAAATTTTATAAAGTGGTGAGGATCTTTGAGAATATTTTAGATATTAAATTGTGTCTAACAAATTCCTTTAAACTTGGAGGAAATAGAAGATTTAGATGTGTATCAAAATGTAAGATGCGTCAGCCGTTAATTCCAATATTTTTATAGAAAATAAGATAAACACTCATCGATTCTTTGAGTTATAAAGTGGTTTCAAACGAAAAATATAGCACCTCTTGATATAAACGGGTTTGATAGTGAGACAATTTTATAAAGATTATAGACACACAAACAATTCATACATGATAGGACATTTTAGTATAAAAGAATTTAATAGCTAACAACTCATCCTGTTTGTCTGCGGTATTAGTTGTATTTAACTTTGATATTTTATAAATTAGTCCTAAGATAGTTTGTAAAATTAAACGACAAAACTTCTAGTATCAACTCATAATTCCTTCTGAAATCTGCGTTATGAATGAATGAACATATAGAAAAATATGCTTCTGACTTGCTTCATCCTACAAGATCTCCTCTAGTATGAAATCGGCTTAAGTCCTGGCTCTAACTATTCTGATCTGTCCACTATCCAATAGGATATCGATTCTTGCCAGGGAAGGTCCTCAATCTCCTTCTAAAAAGCAGCAGTAAGTGACATGCATTTTCTCCGCATCCAACTGAAAGCTCAGCTGTTTATAATTAAACTCACGTTTTAAAGAAGGTTGATAAGAATAACTGCAAATTTGAAAGAACAAACCATAGAAAAAACGCAATGAAGGCGAATCCCTAAAGGAAATGACGTTTTTAGTTACCATTCGTCACTCCGCTAGATCATAAGATTTAAAATTACACATTGATAGTAAAAAATAGGTAATTGCGATGGATGAAAAAGGGATGTTGCGGATAACCCCCTTGTTGTTCAGTTCAGTTCAAAAATCTTTATTCACATAAAACATGTTTTTATACAATAATATTCAACCATGTGTTGTAAAACATGCATGTTGTATTAGGGCCTACGTACCGTATAGAGATCTTCGCAACTTAACTTCAGCAAAGCTGAACAGCAGTTCTGATAAATAACCGGGCGGCTATGATAAGACCATTAAGGCTGTAAATCTTTCCATTTTGTTCACCACCTTTTAAAAGACGCCTACCTATCAACTCACCCTATTACCTATCTTGTATAATGAAAATTATGTAATCAGTAACTTATACAAAACTCACTTGCTTCAAATGTACAGTAATCCGATTTTATGGAAATAATTATGTTTGGGTTGGCAACCCCTCCTTTGGGAATAATCCCACGATTTTCCAATACAAAAACGGTTTTGATTATTTGCGGTGGGATTATAGCATTTAATTAATCTTTACAATTTACATCGATGTTGTATTTGATGACTGTGTTTATCTGGCTATCAAAAAGTACTTTATGCGAATGGAAATATTACAATTATTGTTGTTGTGTGTAATTTTGCAAAATAAGTGCGAAGTTTCCGTTACATTGGGTATCGGCTTGGGCACAGACAATATAATACTTTAATGGTTTATTCCATTGTCTGTGGCTTGGACTTGGATTGGCTAAATATTTAAAATCTGAAATTAAACAAGTATGTTGGGTATATCTCTGTTATAAGTGATTTAGTAGGATAATTGTAAGCAGTAATTTAGTAGCTAAGCCCATAAAAGTGTTGTTTTTTTTACCTTTTAAGCATTGAGTGTAATGTTTTAACTTATATACGTCGATACGAGAGTAGAGCTGAAACATTATAATCATTTGAGAGATTGTTATGAAGTTAGTTTTAAATCACATGACTAATTGACAGTAACCAGGTAAAATGTACATTTATTAATGTAAAGGAT